ACATTATCACCTCAATATTTTGTTGTCGAGGTCAGCACTAAGTAGTTACTCGAGTTAGAGAGTGTAATTCAGTTATCCGGTGACAAGGTAGTATTTGAAGAGGACTTACCATCCCGCTGTTTGTCTAGGGCGTTTGTGTCGTATAAGATGAAATGTGAGTAGGCAGGTTTTACAACTAAGATGTGCTATTTGGTTTAATACTTCAGTCAGGTTATTGAATTAGAGATATCCAGACATATATGCGTATTACTTATCAACATACTTGCGTTGAAGTGATAATGTAAAATCGGGTTATATCTTGTTATTTCGGTCACTACACGTTTGCTCTACTTTTTTAGATCCAAGATAATTACCACATCCAGTTTTACTTCATATTTCAACTACATTTCAAAAAATATGTGAACTGTTCGCTAACCTCACAATGAGTATTTGATGTTGCGATCATAATACCTAATTGGAATGATATATCATCCTTCATTTTATTTACTGGTTTATCTGATTTATGACATTATTTAAAGGAAATATAGGATAACTATAGCCAATATACATTAACAATGTTTTTGATATATTATAAACGACAAGGACAGTTTATGTTCACCGATTTGCACGTACTGATGGAGGCTGAGCAACGATTACTGTGTGACATAATATGCATTGACACCAAATTCCTATGCCCCAGTGTTGAAGGATGACCAAACTCTCCATAAAAACAGATAATTTATTGTGACCATTTGTTTGACATTAAAATAAAAATACTTCCAACAGTATATTTTACCATAACAAACAGTAGAAGGCTAACACAAATTTAGTTTTGATTTCTAAAAATCATTTAAATGTCACAAAGAATTAAATGGAGAAAATATATCAGGTCTTAATCATAGTCAACAAACTACATAGAAAAAATGTCCCCATCATGATTAATAAAACAAGTTTCCCATTGTTTTGATTTTTAAAACGACATAATATTTCTTTACCGTGGAACTTTTCTTATACAATTTTGTAATGACTAGGACATACTTACTATTAGTTTCCCCAATACGGGTATTTGCTGGTATAGGTTTCCACCTGCCATATCTATATCTATATCTCATATCATAAACATCTTCGACACCCTAAACTTATTGTAAATGCTATCAGGATCAACGTCGGCAGGTTCGTGTTTGTGCATATACCGAACCATGCAGAGGACTGGAGTGTATAGTTATAAGGTTCTGAACGTCATCATTTCAAAGATATGATCAGATCTTTGCCAGAGGGCCTGCCTGCTGCGATGGAACGTACAACTAATGTACTCAGATAGTGATATTCATTTCTGTATAACCAGCATTTCGATATGTGATTATAGGTAGGGGATCATGTATATTTCCATTGTATTACCATGGAACTAGGTCCCTGGTATAATTGGGTATGTATCTAAACATTTCCAGTTTATATGGTAGGCATTCCAAGTGTTTCAAGTTCAGGCCAATATCTCTATTGGACTTCAACCTAGGGTAGCAAGGATGCATTTGCCTACCGGTGTCTGTTATCGTCCCGAGTGATGTGTTGCGACAAAACTGATTACAATGCATGTGGTTTTTTTTGTATTTGTGACAAATAATTTCCCGCTCTACTTATGGGCCCAGTGACCACTTACTTCGAATTCGGTTACCATCCCTCGTCCTGTCGTTTGAGAAGTTATGTTTAAAAGCAAAAAAGTGACGATATGAGGTAGAAAAAAAGCATACCTAACAAATGTGTATGGTTTCTTCAGCTTGTTAAATACGAGCTTTACACATGGAAACATTACATTAATACCACGATGCATTATGGTTGTTGGCAGCTGTAGTATGTACTCAAGTACGATATTGTTATTCACTTATCTTCTTACAGAGAAGTACTTGAATAGTTTCCGATATATTGGACTACAGTTCGGTATGAACAAGTGTGCACTTTAGCCACTTTTGTAAACTCAATGGCAATGCTTCAGATTACAATAGCGATAGTGCGACTTAAATGCGCCTTAAACCATTAGTAAGCATAACTTTCATACTTAAAAAAGTCTTCAGAAACTGATTCAATCACGCCGACCGCCAAGCCAGAGCTGTACATAAATACACATATACACCAAAACAAATTGGGCTATTTAGTATTTCAGCAGTTTATTATTCATTTGTATTGATCATGTATTAAGACAAAGGAAAAGTCATTATATTTGACCTGTTACATGCTAGGTGGATTACCATCGAAACTGTTTAAAGTTATAATTTTGACCTATTTAAGGTAAGGTGAAAGAGTCAAACGTTACCAACAATAAAAACAAGGTATTTATTATTTGTTCATGTATAATGGAGAGGACGCCACTGCTTAATTTTCTTGGGAAATATTATTAGAGAAAATGTCAACATTTGCGATACGGTGGTGATCGTATTTGTATTGGTTTAAAAAAATGTTCTCGTGTTTTTAAGAAGTCTAGGGCCATACATGTATATCTAACCAGTAGCGTGTTTTGATGAAGGAATTCGAAATTCGTTTAAATGATTGACTTCAATCTATTTTTTACGATCACATATGCTATTTTTTTAACGATTTCAACGAACGTCCTCTGAATACCCAGGCCTACAGTGAAGATATTTTGCTATAAGCATGCTCGGATGAAGGATAACCAAGTTAATTCAAATTAATTTAGCCTAAATATGTTGTTTTTTTCGAACCTCTTCTCCTGAATAACCATATGTCATACGTTAATGCAATCGGGTCAGTACAGTATTATGGTGGCGTAAATGGGTTCGAAGTTTGTTAAACTGAACGACATTGACTGACATTCAAGTTCACATCATTCAAAATCCGTTAATCGTTTAAGAATCACATAAATATAGCGTAGCTACTAGCCAGTTGGAATATAACCATGCGTGATTTATTTGGTTTATAGATACTTGAAGGGTAGCACTACGATATATAAAACCACAGTTATTATATCAACAGTTTTACGTGGGTCTTTTGACACAAACATTTGTTTGGTAATATAACAAAAAGAATAAAATGAAGACAAGTTAAAAATTGAAAAATCTAAATACTTAATTGTCAAAACCGATACAACAATACTATTTAAATAGAATTTCAATCAATTAGCAACAAATTAAATCTATACAATAATTTACCAAACACTACACCTTCTAGAATACTATACATATATACATTCAACAAATAATTCAAGTGTTAATTTCTGTCGCGTCACTTCGTAAATTGTATAACATACATGTACATTGTATTAACACACATTTATTTTTACATGAAAAATACCGTATATACACCTTTTTATTTTGGTTGACGAATGTTCCTAGGGGAATATGACGTCATGTGTATTTTCAATTTGGCCCGTGTTATTGAAACGGAATGAGGTGATTGCACACATATCGCTTACGATACTTTTAGTTTACATATTTCTACACGAACAGAATTTCAAAAACAATATTGCAATTTAAAAAAAAACTCTCAGGAAATAAATAGTCGCCTCATGCGCCAGTATACATTTAACCGCGTCTTCCTCAAGTTTCAATGGAAAAGTATCCTGTAAAAATGCCGTCAAATTGTTAGTCTACAATTTCTCGAGTTTTTAACAGTCGCATCACATTACTATAATATCATTCAGGACATACGGGTATAACAATAAAATGTAATTCGGGATTCGTCGTTTAGGGTAAATATATAGAGATAAATACATAACATAGTGCCTGTGTGCTCTGTACAATGGAAATATATAAACTATAAACATACTTGGTAGCGTTTTCGCCTGATTGACTGGCTGTCATCAGGCGACTGATGAATCCATACATGGGCGACAATCCTAGCAGTGCTGTCGTGCGGTTAGGACAATGCACTTCCTATTGTAGATATACATATCAAGACATGATAGGTTTACACCTCCCTCGACGATCTCCCTCTCAATCTATAATGCTGAAAACACAAACTACTGTTTATACCATTAACAGTTTGGAGCGGAACACAATATGCACCTTCCAAGTAGCACACGCTGTATTTAAGTCTACCACACGTGTAGATATCTCCCTGTGTTTTTGGATAAAGCTCGTGAATAGCACAGTACGTTAGAAAACGCAATATTTCTGCCATACTGTAGCGGATGTATACCCATAAAATTATACCAGTCGCATGCTCAATAATAATAACCGCGGCTGTCACAATCGCAGAGGTGAGGGCTGCTGACATGGTCATTGTCAACAACCACAAAGCTCTGGGACTAACATGTATATTGATTATTATTCATCACGGTTCCGATCTACGTTTGATAGGCTAAGTCCAATAGAAATATTTTGAAAAACTGACGTATTAATTAAAGCTTCCTCGAGTTGTTCATTATTACGATTTCTTGTGAACCAGATCGACTAATTTCCGGAACCAGAATCCCCCTCTGCAATTGCGGTGGTGATGTATATTTCTCTCTCACCTAAAAAATAAGGATGCACAATTAATTTTGTTAATATTAGCTTCTTGTAATTTGTTCTGAACGCGATTAGCGTGTAAAGCCTGTTCCTTAGGATCTAAAATTTAAAAAAGTTGTACCCAAAATATATGCATTTTACATAAATGAATGCAATAGAATTATAAATAAGGAAACCATCAATTAAAACATTTTGATGTTAATTAATATAATTGCAAAGCTGTGTTTAAAGTTGTGCAATATTTTGATTTTATTTCATATATCGCTTATCTGACAGACGATATAGAAACTTACCAGATGTTGTGCCATGGAGATCTTCATAGACGTTTGGGCTAGACCGACCCTCCAATGACTCGTATTCTCTGCTGCAACAAAATTGAAATATCTTATAAACTATGCACCATCCTAAATCTGCCAGCACCAAACGTTGAAAGATAATGAATGATGTGACAAAATTATATTACATGTGTTTACAAGTCATGGTAATTAAAAATATGTATTGGTACAAACTTACTTGTCATTGACTGGATCTCGCCGGCGACCTACAAAACAAGCAACCTTAAAACAGTTATATTATCCCCCGGAAACATTCATTTGTATGTAAATACCACAGTTTTTTTATAAGTTTTATTCCATGCATTCAAAACCGAGCACACTCTGTTTATATACAGATGAAACAACACTGTATTTTCATCCAACATTAAAACCACCCGGGACCTCTATCAGGACCAACAAGATATA